TGAGACACGAGGTCGGGTCCAGAAGCTTCGCCTTCAACTTCTCGGGGAGGAATGATAAGGCATCTTGGACTGCCGCCTGACCCACCCCAGGCCAAGCCGCTATCACCTTGTCTGCCATGATATCCTCCATCACGACCACAGGCTCTCCCTGGTAGTCAAAGCGCACATCAGCCAGGCGCTTCGCTGTCTGCTTGAATCGACCACACTTCAGCTTCCGCTCCTCCACATAGTCCAGAGCACGCCTCAAGTGATCTACAGTAAGCTTCTGTGCCTGAGTGAGGTCAGCCTTGACTTCCGGGTTCGACCAACCTCCATGGCCTTGTGACCTTGCGAGCAAATTCAGGGCAGTCACCATGCCCGCAACACCCTGAGCCTTCACCTCGCCGTGCGCCTGCAAGTAGGTGATCGCCGCTTGTGGGTTAATGGGCAGCAGCTCATCGCCCCGCAACGATTTGGAGGATTTCTCCTCGAGAGGCGCTCCTTGACTTCGACCCAACTGCGCTAGGCGACTCAGCGGCGAATCCTTGCCCTCAAAAGTCCTCCACAAGCCATAGAACAACTCCACCGGCGAGCGCTCTTCAGCGAGGTAGCTCCTCAGATCGCCAGGACTTGATGGCACAGGGGGCGGAGAGGGCTCCCTGGTGACTTCTGCAGGAACTAGTCCTTCTTCTCCTTCTCCCTTTCTCCTCCTTTGCCTTTTCCTCTCTCTTTCCCTTTCCGGCCGCCCTTCTCTTGGCTTCCTTTTCCGTCCTTGCCGGCTCTCGGGTTGCTGAACCCTTTCAACTTCAGCTCCAACAGATGCTCCCGGTTCATGAAGACCTCCTCGTCCCTCTCCAGGAGGCCGCCTGCGTCCGGACCCAGAAGCTCCAGGAATTGGGCTGCCTGCCAGTGCCCGTCGTGGCAGCTCTTCTCGATGGCCTTGAGGCGCTGCCCCAGTAGGTCCGCTGCGTGGGCTGGCAGCTTTCTGGCCAACATGTCCAGTGCTGTGCACAACGTCCTCATCTCCCGATGCGCTCTCATCCCTAGGCGCTGTCCCAGCTGCGGCACTATCATCGTGTGGAAATAGTGCACGGCCGCTGGCGGGGTCAGCTCTCCTCGATCCGCGGGGTTCGCCCCCACAGCCCCTTGGGCTCCCTCGACCTGCATCTTCAAGAGGAGTCTTGAAGCCAGGCGGCCCGGTGTTCTCTTTGCGTACTGCATCAACTTGAGTTGGTTTGATGCCTTTGGGACTGTGGGGGCTTCGCGAAAAACTGCCTCTGACTCGCTAGAGGACTCCCCTTGGTACCTGACGATGTCACCACCCCCGAAGGGTCCACGATCACGTTGGCCCTTCTTTGCCGAGGATGACGCCTTGCCCTCAGTGCCTTCACCAAACAAGCCCTCCTCCTCTTCTTCACTGTAAGAGGAGGACTCCTCAATGTCTTTCTTCTTCTTCTTGGCAACTCGGGCCTCCTTGTCTCGCTCTTCATCTGCTCCAGCGGCCTTCCGCTTCTTCTTCTTTCCACCTCCAGGGGAGGGTGACTTCTTCTCCTTCTTTCGCTTCTTCTTTACCTCGGCGTCAGGCTCCAACTTCTTCTTGCGCTTGACCTTCTCCTTCTTTGCCTTGATGCCGCCACTCTTTGAGGCTTTCTTCTTTCCTGACAACTCTCGCTCAAGGCGTTTGACCATGTCTCGTGCCTTCAGGAGCTTCGACTTGAGGCCCTCCTTCTCACGACTCCCACTGCTTTCTTCTTCCTCTTCTTCCGAAGCTTCTTCACCTGGGTCCACCCAGGGTAAAGCGCCTTTGGCCTCCTCAGCTTTGGGCTCCATGCCTTTCTTCTTCAAGAAGTCCATGAAGTGCTTGCCCATTGACTTGGCAAAGGCCCAAGAAGGCACATGGTTGTTGACCTCCTTTTGGCCCAGCACCCTGAACTTCTCTACATGGATCGAGGCTCCACGTCTGCTGACCTTGCAATCATGCGAAGAATCTTCGCAGAAGTGGTAGGCACATTTGGCAGCAAGTTTCTTGCCAGCACCTTCAGACATCCACCATTGCATATGGGCATCACTGGCCCCGAGGAACTTGGCTGTCACCCAATGCCCTTGATCATCGGTGGACAAAGCCGCTGCGATCTCCAAGATCACGGTGCCCTGTGCATGGCCTTCGTTGTCACGAATGCCGCACTCCACCAACTGCCCAGGAGCAAATCGGTGGTTGAACCATTTCTCACGATCGACACCCCCCGCCAGCCACATCCCGCTGGCGGGGGGGGTGAACAGTTGCCCTTCAGCCAAACAGCTACGAAGAGTAGGGGGGGACATATAGTCGTGGCTCCACTACGTAGAGGCATCACTCATTGCAATATATATGCCGATCAGTTGGGGTGGTGCCAGGGGGGTCAATGGGGCGGGCAAATATGGCCTTCGATTATAAAAGGTGTCTGGGTATAGCCTTCGATCCTGGTTCCGCACCTGCCAACTCTTCCGCACGTGCAACTCGTTTGCTTCGCCAGGGCACATGAGTCGTCGTCAAACACAAAGGCATAGCCTCGGCGTTTCAAAACCGCCGACCGATCGGTCTGGAACGTGAGCATGGGCCCGCTGCGGAGAGACCGGCACGCGTGTGGCGTCGGCTGCGTCGACGGCGTCTGCTGCTTTTCAATTAAAAACATGGAGTGGATACCACAAAAACGACCTCAGAAGATCAATTGGTATCAATTGGTCATGGAACAGCGGTGCTATGCGGTGCTGGTGAAAAGTTCCAAACCTTTCGTTGTAACTTCATGAAGCTTCCATATTCTTTGGAATACGTAATTGATTCCTGCAGAATACGTCATTAAACATGAACACAACCTCTTGAAACCCTTCTAGAGCGCCTTCTTCGCCGCGAACCCTGGGGCACCGCACTGCTGCTACCTTCAGCCACCTCGCCGGGGGAGAGCCCGGCCTCGAGCGCGGGAAGAAAACACTAGGAGTAGGAGGTTCTTGTGACTAGCAGCTTCCGGCCTCCACCGTGCGTAGCTTCTTGCTACGCTTAAGGAAGCCAACATGTTCGACATGACCAGTGTGGAGCAAGGGTCAAACCATGTCTAACCCGTTGGGGCTCCGTTCGGCCGCCCCCTCTTGAGGAGAAGGTGGTGGGCCAGGGGTGGGTGGTTTTTGCCACCGGTCACCGGGTCGGAGATGGGGCGGGCGTTTGGAGCCCTAAGGGAAACACCAACGCTCCGTGTGACGTGAGTTCGCCCTCCGAGCCCCGGACCTATAGGGATTGCGTTCGAACCCTCTAACCTTCGACCCCTGCGTTCGGGGGCTGGTCTGGGGCCACAGCAGCGGTGAAGCTTGGTCTCGGGTCGCAGCTTCAGTTCGTGACCCGAACTGGAGTCCCTGTTGGTTCGTGTTGGTGACCGAACTTAGGGGGCCAAAGTATATGTGACCGATGAACATAGTGGGATATCAAGTTCGGTCACGTCAAAAAAAACAACACTGGTTCTTCAGTTCGTGACCGAACTTGATCACCTGGTTGGTTCGGTCACTTAAGCCTCCTAAGGGTCACAAAAAGGAACCTTCAAAAGGTCACGAACTGAAGAAGCGCCCGGAGTTCCAAAGGAAGGGTTCGTAGTCCCATTCCGTGAGTGCATGTGACAGGGGGCACCAAGCTCGGCACCCTCCAAGCTCGGCATCCGACGTTTGATCGAATGGTCCATGAAACGAGCATTGATCAGCCTCCAATGATGCCAATGGTGGGAGAAGTTTGCCACATAGAGACAACACTGACGTAAAAAGGATGAGGCTTTGCACTATAGCGAGTGGGCGACTTCAACGAAACTCCTGTAAGCAATCTTCATCTAACCATGTGTGGCAGAACGCACGCCAGGTGGGGTACACTCATCAAGTGCTGCAGCCCAGCAGGTCAACGCTGCACTTAAAGGGTTCCATGAGAACTACTACAGACTTCAAGGGGATCTCTTAAATAGCGGCATACCCCACAAATAGCCGAAAGCATCAACACACACACACACACGTACACCCACACAAAAAACTGAACAGAAAACGCCCATCTAGTGCTTCCTCCGCCACCTCGTTCCCGATCTGAATCGATCTGTTGTTTCGAATCCACATCCGGGTGGCGCTCAGCAAGCGTTGGTGGCGCCGTTGCCAGAAGCTCCGCGAACTGGGGGAACTTCCAGCATCCTGGCCGAGTGGATCCGGTGAGCTGAGCGTGGTACTTGGGCGAACTGGAGGTGGTGCGAGTTTCGGGTCGTCCTTCGTGCTTGGCCAGGAATGTGTTTTACTCTTGCGAGTTTTCCGGCAACTGCTGCAACTAATGTACTGCAGTAGTGTATAGAGATATATACCTCTTGTATATGGTATATATAGTTGCTGAACTCCTCGACGTCATTCTTATTCACCTCCAGCTCTTCATTGAAGTCCGAAATATAGTAGACCTATTTTGAATCAAAAGCTCCAGCACACGACCGCTCCGCTCCTCTTCCACCAGCTCGGCGTCCGGAAAGTCACCTCAAAAACCAGTCGTCACCACGGATCCAGAGCGGGCGGATCCGGAGCTAGTGATTTGTAGCCCTAGGGCTCCAGTCGTACCTCCTCAGGTTCGGTGTTTGGTCCCGAACATGGCACCCACCCCAGTCCCACCGAACCTCAGGTTCGGTACGACTGGAGCCCTAGGGTAGGGGTCTGGGGTTTCTCATCAATTCCCGATCGGTTTGGTTCGACCCCGGTCGGCCGTCGGGCTGAGAACGGAGTGTCTACACCCAACATCAGCATAGAGGAGCCAGTTTTGATTTTCCCTAACCCTAGAAGTCGAACCACCATTGTTCTAATGGCCTTTACCGAACAACCATTGTTTCACTAAAGGTTTTACACTACAAAACCAGATCAACCATTAACAAAAATGGTCTTTGACTTCCAGGGCTAAGAATCCGGACCCTCAAACACATAGGGTTTTGAGGGCCCGGACCCCTGCGAAGGTGTCGGGTCCGACCCCTGCCATGGAGAGCCCAAGGATTCTTAGGGTTGCCAGTTTACATGTTCACCCAACTAAGTACTGTCTCAGTCCTGATTCTCCCTTACACTCCTTGAACTAATCATGGAAGTGGAGTTTGCAATGATCATGCCAACGGGGCCATACCATCCACTTCCACCATGACTACAAGTATGATCGACAGGATTTTGAACATCTTATAGCCTTCGAGTTTCCCTGGAACAGAATGATGAACCTGTTTCATCCTGAGGTCCTGGCCTGTTCTTGTGAAAGATGGGGTGCCACCACTCCCCTCCCAAAAGAGTTTTTCAGGCGATCCACGTACTTCCTGACCATGGCGACCGACCGGGGCCGGTGAGGGTCGAGGATCCCATGACCCCGTGACCCGCCGACCTGTCCGCCCCGGTGGGTGCGTTCGGGTCGAACTCGACCACCGGTGGACCATGACCGATCGATAGTGCAGATACGACTGGATCCCAAACGGGAATGGGACTGCCGACTGCCATGGTCGACCCATTGACACCCCTGGCACCACCACCCCTGGCCTTTTCACTCTCGGCAGTCCGGACTGGCAGTCCCAAACAGATCGTGTCTGGGTAGGTTGCTTCGAATCCATGGTGTCTACACTTTAGATATGTAGTTGTAGGACTAAGAGGTCCACTAGTATGTAGTTGCAGGATAAGGGCTGTCCTATTAGGACCCTAACAGCCTTGTAGGGTTTGGCTTGGGATATAAGACATGTTGAAGAAGCCACACATCTCAATCTCTGGAGATGTGTCACAACGCTCTGGAAAGGAGGTTGATCAACATTCAACGTCACTAGGGTTGGACACCCACCTATCCGCCCAAGAACACCAGAAATCCGCCCAGGCACAAGCGGCACGGCTCTCAAAGCAACCTGTTCAAGACAGCAACCAAGATGTTCTGAAAACAAACAAACATGAAGATGTTCTGAAATCGGTTCAAACATGTTCAAACCCTTATGAAATATATGCCATGCCTTGGTCAGTTCCAGAAAAGCTTGCAAGATCACCATCTGAAAGGTCCTTACAGTTCTATCTGCTATCTCCGAAACCTCCATGTTTCTCCATGCTTTCAAATCGATTAGTCGCCAACTCTAGAGTCACATCTTGTCAACATACTTCCTCCTTGGGCGATCGGAAGTATGGAGGAGTGTGGAAAAAGTGACTGGACTTGAACAAGAAAACTGCTGGTTGACCGGTTCAGGTCGGTTTCCTTTCAATCTGATCCAAAGGAGTGACTTGGATATCATTCTCATCGCTGAGCAAGGGATGTTCTTCCACAAAACTGGCAAAGACCTGGCCCGGTTGCTACCTCGGCCGGAACTCTCTCTCTCTCTCTCTCTACACCTATGATTCGCACAAGGTCCCCGAGGCCAGCTCTCGCATGTCTTGGAACCCCCAAAATCACAAAGACGGACGGCACATCACTGTGCAGAAGCAGGGTCAATCGGAGGAACATCCACACGCCTCTGGTTGGAGTGTCTCATGAAGGTTGTTCCAGTTCAGCACCCGAATGGTTCCAGCAGCTTTTCTCCCTCTGCGCCTTGCGTCTGTTGACCCATTGACCCTGGACGTTCACATCGCACCACGTCCGACATCCTTCGCATTCGCATACGCTACGTGCGAATGGAGCCTCAAAGAATGCAGTGATGCACCAGTTTGTTTGCTTTCTTCCCCTGCAGCTCCGGGCCGCTAACTTCAGGTTCTGTTTGAGGACTTGGACTCCAGGATCAACTTCAACAAAAGATTCGAACGGCGACTGGATCATGGCACCACTCTTTCGGTGCAAAAGAGGTTACCTTTGGCATCCTCTCCTTCCAGCTGCTAAAGCTCTACTACCCTTCACAAAACAGGGCTTGGTGGACAACATGCCTGCTTCTGCTTACAGCTTCTATATATTTCATCTCACCTGTCACCCACCAAACCCCCCAAAATCCTCCAGGCTGCGACCGTGTTTGGATGAGTCAAAAACACGGCTCGACACCAAACCGTGTCGATCGAATCGCTTCACACTGCGTAGAAATGCTTGTGAAAGTCCCGAAGGCTCCGAGCCTCTCTTCCGCCTGGGGACGGAGTTGAACGGCCGAAAGGGCACCAAAATGGAGGGTGATCCGTGTTGAGTAGTTCCATGACCACAAAGCGGGTGAAGTTCTACGGGGGTCTCACCAAGAATGGTGGCACTTCCATCCATCCTGATGCCATAGAGTTGTTCTGGGTGCCCAGTCATTTGTTGGCACACCTGCCACTTGAACACATCACTGACGAAGTGGCAATGGTTCACAAGTGCACTGTGCTTGACGTTTCGAACAACGGACGAGCAAACTGGGAGGCAAACATAAGTTGCTGTTGCCAATGGAGTGCTTCATCCGGATGACCAACAATTAACAATTGCTAGAGGGCAACATCTTGCAACGTCATGAGTGGTTGGTGTCTTTCAATTCCAGTTTGATAGGATTCCTGGTTGGTGCAAAATAGAGGCCCGATCCTCAAGGCGACCAGTTTGCAGGTTTTCTAAGCGAAGCATCAGTGAAGCCGACCTCGAAGTCGCCAGTACCAAACTGGATTTGGAGTTTTGCTGGCGACTTGGTTGAACGTTCTGAACCAGGAAGCACATCCTAACTTGTGTGCGTCCCTAACTTGCCTTATGTGCCTTTTGGTGGATGAGATTCAATCACCCTATAGGGATCCAAGTACCTTCTCAGAATGTGATGTGTTCGACAGTGTTATGTAGGTGCCAGGAGGGTCCAGTCGTATCTTCTGAAAGGCTACTTGGATCCCTAGGGTCAATCGGAGGCAGGTGTCAGTTTTAGACCTTCGCATGTGCAAATGAAGGATCCAGGGGATCAAGTGGATCATGATGAGAGTGATTCACATGGGAACCAATCGGGAATGCATGATCCTGGACCTTCAAAGTGACCGAACTTGATCCCAGTTTGAGGTCACTTAGGTCTGTACAAGGTCACTTAGAGACTCCAATTCGAGGTCACTTTGAAGGTGGATCGCTTCTGCCGATAAGAGAAAGCTTCAGGGAATGATCGTTATTTGGACGATCGAGATTCCCTAGGGCTCCAACCATATCCTCAGAAGGTGGTTAGACCCACCCACCCCAACCACCTTCTCAGGAGGTAGTTGGAGCCCTAGGGATTGACATTGGGAAAGAGTTTAGTTCGTCGAGGCTTCTTCTAGATCTGGAGTCTGGTCTCTAATTCACTTGCATCGTGGAGGCATCCTCTCTTTAGTTTGTTCTCAGACTAGACTTCAGAGTGGGTCTGTAGCACAAGCTTCTTGGAGCTGCAACTCGCATGGAATTCTAGGTAGTACAGGATCTCTAACTATACACAGAAACACATGGACAAAAAACAAAGTGTGGAACAAATATTGGGCTGATTCTTTGTCCCATCTGGCACATCAAAGGCTAAAGAGACCCTGCGGGGCCACCTGTCTGTCCATCATGTTGCACTCCCACGCTCTGGATCATACACACTCCCTAGGCCTGGATATTCATGGAAGTGCTGTTCTTGTTCAGTGCGGGAAACCAGGTCGCCCCAAGCCTTTGCAGGTCCACCTACTTCCTAGTACGTAGCTGTTGGCTTGGGGGTCCTGACACCCGACATAGACCGAGTCCGCTCGTCGGAGTCAGGCGGAGTCCGACTCCGGTCGCTCCGCGCACCGCGCGGGTCGGCCTCTTTTGGCTTTGCGAGGCTCCTGGGCGAGAATGACGCGCGAATCACGCGGAAAGGGACGCTGAAAGGGAGGTGTTGTGAGACGTGACTGTTATTTGAGTGCATGTGGGGCTTCAAGGTGGCATGTTTTTGTAGCTGGGAGGGGGGTAGCTGCAGAACATCCAGTCCACCAGCCAGGTTTGCTGCCAGGCTGTGAATGAATTGGACCTGCTACCTTGCCATAAGTCACTGCGGGATTCTTGTTCAATCAACCACCAGCATGCATGAGAACAAAACACACCCAAACGCTGCCAGAGCATCGATCTGGGAACCGCTGGCAACAAACCAGTACATGACCCCAAAACATCAACGACCAACCAGCCCAACCAGTCAGTGACCCCAAACCCTCAAACTTCCACTAGAATGGCGATCATGGCTCATCCGAATGACGGACCTCTTTCCTCGAAACGGACCTCTTTCCTCCATCCTCACCGACGCCCGGGTCTCACCGTCAGTCACGACGGCCGGTGGCCCAGGCGCCGCGGTGGCCAGTGTGTTGGTGTCGCTCCAGGAAGCTCTTGAGTGCTCCAGCGTGATGCTGTAGACCGACTCCATGAAGTCCTTAAGTAGGGCAATTGGCCGGTCATTCACATGGCAAATCGCTTGGCATGTAGTCTTCTTTTAATATGTTTATTTGTTGCTATATTGTTATTCTAAGAAGATACACTCCAAACACTTCTGTTGAGAAAAATTGTCATCCACAATATGTTGCCACATATATCGAATTGCTAAGTCTTGAGACGACATTTGGCTCCATCATGCTTCAGTATCTCTAGAGATACTTGAAGGTTATCCATACGCTAGAAGTCCAGTTAGACTATACATGTCCATAGTGAAATAAAGAAACTTCCCTTTCAGGTCCCCATTCGTCAGACCATGTTTTTAATAGTCTTGGACTCCAATAGAACCACTTCAGATTGAAAAACACTTTTTCCGACTGCTGCTGGTAATGGGATGCACTCCAAACATCTAGATGTTGGCTGCCCTGCACTTAACAAAGTCAAAAAATCACATCCCTTATTTTTGACATGTTTAAATCTCCCTATGAGTTGGGGAGAAGGCTGGGATGTCTGGCTTGAACCCCCCAAACATAGGGCACCCCGTGAAGTCACAGCTTTCTGTCTTTAGGACCCGTTGTGATTCGGTAGGGCATGGAACAAGCATGTGCTCTTTAGTACCATCCGTACAAAATTACAGCAGCAGTGCTGTTATTGAATCTCTGTCTACACATTCAAGCAAGAATATGATTCTCTAGAACATGTGGAAAGTCAAGTCTCTGACCACTGTTTGTACTTTCGGCGGATGACATGTTTTTTTCTTGCTGGTCACCCTGATTGAAACTATTTATTTTCAAAATGCAGCTGCACTTAAGGAAATCAGTGCAGTAAGGGGAGGGCATGCCATACCCCCCCCCCTTAGGGAGGTCGGTAGCGCTACCGACCTCAGTAAGCCCATGGCTCTCAATCAATGGGGCATGGTTTTTGCATTGATTTAAGCATCCCTGAATTATTTTCACCTGCACTTAAGGAAATCACATGGAGGCTTACTGCAGTCGGTAGCGCTACCGACTGCACTAAGGGGAGGGCATACCAAGCCCTATCACTACTGAGGTGATTTCCTTAAGTGCAGGCATTAAACTTTTTGAATAGGTGAATTATTTTCAATTCTAGCTTCGAATTGGGGGAGATGGTCCACTATCAAAGGAGAGAGTAGGAGAGAGAGGGGCGTGAAGCCTGGCTGCCTGACCGATTGTTTATTTAACAACCAGAAGTGAGCTTTGCGGCTATAGGACCGTTTGGCTGCATGACAGATCTCCGGTTTGGCTGCATGAGGGTCTCCTTTGCTTTACCCCTGTCCCATGGGCAGGTTAACCCACCTTTTCCATTCGGGTTTTAATGTAGTTATTTATTGATTTTATTGGATTCATCATTGAGTACTTCCGAGCTGCGGTCCCAGCAGCAATTATGTTTAAATGCAGGGATGACATTTTGACATCTTTAAGTGCGCCCCAGTTGGGTATATCGTTATATCGCATTCCCTGGGCCCAGTGGATGATAATTGCGCAGTTTGCGGGCAAACATATATCTCTCAACTGTTGATGTTCAAGAGCTAATACCCACTGTTACAGGTCATGGGACATCCCATGACCTGCA